CAACAGTTCTTCAAAGTGTTCTATCCACCTGTTTCGCCGTTTCTCAATGTTAGTGATTACTTTGCCTTCCTTGCTTTTCATTGATCGTTCTGTTTCACTATATTTTCCAGCAAGCCTCTTCTTCGTATCATATAACTGTCTCATGTTTCCCATCCTTTTCGTGGCTAGATCATCCGCATGCTTCCGTTTAACAGCTCTGATGCGCCTCTTCACCTGCTTGCTTGCTTCTGCGTATTCAACTTGTCTGTCGGCTTTCTCTGCTCTTGTTTGGCTGATACCAGTTGTTACCTTCGTGTTTCTCCTTTCTTGAATCTTATCTAGTGCATCAACAGTGACCCATTCCTTGTGATGGTGGCATTTGTGGCCCCAAACCTCATGACATGCTGAAGTGATTGCTTCTTTAATCCTGTCCCATTTGTTCTTTATGGTAGTTTTATGTTCATCGAATAAGATCATGCAAGCCTTGGAACTTGTTGGTAAGAGCTATCTTGAATTCGTTGGATTTGCCAGTATACTGAAGAAAGGTCCTATTAAACTTTTTAATGTTGTTTTCCCCGTTGTCCAATGCTTCTTGATTTTTAGTTTCATCTTGGCTACAACTCCGGGATGATTAGAAGCTATGTCAGTACTTCTCTTGGTTCCTACATCTTCCATCATCCTTCTGAACATTTTACTGATGCATGTGTGATCCATTTGGTTTTGTATAGTGTGATCCAGTGACGGCCATTTAACTTTGTGTTTGCGTTTGTGTGTGAATATTTTGTCACCGACGACAAGTTTGTTTGCAAATCTCTCACCGTTTTCGTTCCTTTCTCCCAGTCCATGTCGCCCCATGATGTCTTCATATCCAGTGTCGTCCATGCCAACCTTGGCATTCAGGTTTCCCATCAGAATGGTCAGGTTCTTAGTTAAACATTTCTTCACGATTGACTGAAGCCTCCCATAGAATTGATTCCTAACGTCCTGACTGTAATTGTTGGTTGGCACAAACAATTGGGGCACGTTCATTGTAATGCTCTCTTTGTTTTGAACGATGCCTTGATGATCCTTGGTTCACGAGATTCCCATCCTATAAATTACTTTTATGCTTCTTTAGACAGCATCATTGCAACTCCTTGTGTGCATGAGGCATTTTCTTCTTCATGGCCGGAGTATAACAGCTACTCTCCAGAAGCTGGTCTTTGTTGTCCAACTTGCGTCTAATGTGCCTGACTGATTCAAAGGTTGTATCTTTTCATTTCTGCAGCAACTTGAACGACCCTCCTAGTCTCCCTTCCATGTACCTAAATTGATGATTTCTCTGGTTGTAAGAAGGGGTATCGGCCTTGCGACCGAAGAAACTCGGCTTTCATCATAAGACGTCATAATTCTTCTAAATGAAGACCTTTTAACTCTCAGAGCAGAGTTAAAATAGTTTGAATTATTTTTTTCTGGTTGGCGTTAATTTAGCGAGTTAGTTTTCTATGGGATGTGGTCGCTAACCCTACGCCCAACCCTCCTCCTTTACCCGGGTTTGGAACCGGAAGTAGCCCCAGAGGGGCTTCAGGTGGATTCCTCTAATTATATTACGCATATCATAAAGTACTAAAATGAAAAGTTGAAAGAAATCAAGCATCTTTATCATGGGAAAGTCCACTAGAAATTAAAGCTACTCGCTTAAAACACCAGTAGAAAAGATGTAAATTGTCAATTTCCTCAGAAGACCAATAAGTAAGAAACAAGTGAAACTATCCATGAAAATATCTAAATATCTGTTTGTCACATTGCCTAGAATTACCATACGTTTCATTATCCTACAATTAGGTTACTCTCAAAATTGATTTCATTTTATCTATCACGGATTTTACAGAATAAAGAAAACTAACACAATTTTATTGATGCGAAGTGAAAACATACAAAATGAAATCATTCAATACAAATGAAACATGAGATTTATATTAACGTCATATGAAATCGTAAGATTGTAATTCACGTGAAACTCATAGAATAATACTCAGTCATTTGATTGCGCTACAAAACTAAAGAGAATGGTATAAAGATAGTTAGCGAAAATTAGTTTGTAAATAAACTTCATTGATGTTTTCATCTTTTAAAGTTTGCATGATTTGCACATCTTTTATTGTTGATTGCAAACACTGTAATGTTGTTATTTCCCTGGTGCGAATACGTTTCCTTGACTGGTTCGCTTTCAAACGTGTCATCCTCCATATTTAACACCTTGTTCTCAACAACACATCTAGCATTGTGATAGTTACAATTAGCTGCATTGATTTGTATCCTAAATTGACTAGTATGTATACATCTTGAACGCAAACCTAAAAGTATCTAACTTGAAATTGCATATTTGCAGAACTGAATGATTTTCATCATATAACACTCGTAACTCATTATCATTCATAGTTAATTGTAAATAAAATAGTAATATTAAAAAATCAAAATAGCATTACATAATGAACCTTTTGAAAATTTCAGTTGTCCAAAGAGGGCTCCGTAATAAACAATAAGATATGGAATGAAAGGATGAAGCTAAGGTGTGCGAAAGATCGCTGTCCACTTGATGAGTATTAATAAGGTGAAGAATAAATTTGAAAAGTCGCGGTAATAATAACACTGTTGTAGTACAATAATTTTGAACTTGTAACTGTGAAGCCGCATGAAAAAGTTACTGAGAACAATTTCTCTTTCTAACATTGTTCTTAAAAGATAAGTGTCATTAGTGATATTGGATCAAAGTTGTACATTACTGTGAATCGACCTAAGTGAAAATGGCAGTCATTGGATTTGCGGATGTATCCAATTTACCATAAGATTTAAAGACTATGATTGTGACTAGGATTGTGAACTACCGGTCTGAGATCATATAACCGTTGTTACAAATGGGTTATATCTGCCCTTCAAACATTCTCTAACAAAACTTTCTCCTACTTGACGTAGCCATTATCATTCTGAAAATTCAAACAAATCAAAAATATAGTTTAACTCGCCAGAATGCCAATAAATGATCAACGAACAATGTGCATTTCTACAGTCATGATATGATATGATTGAATCCCCTGTTGGATGGCAGCACACATATTGCCGAACTCCACGACTAATGTTGCAACAATAATTTTTTCATGAATACAAATCATTGTAGCGTATATTTTATTTAATTAAATCCTAACTAACAAACTTATGTTGTTTTAAAGTACTGAATATCATGATCCTTCAAAATCACTTATAAAATCAAGGAGATTTGATTCTAAAAGAATGCGAATGAAAAACTTATATACAGAAAAAGCTATACAATCCGCCAACTCAAGCTTAACCTGTGTGAATAAAAACAATATTCAATCAGTCGTTCTGGCATGACCTTAACTTTTCTTTTGATCTTCCATGATTTGTCGATTGGCTTCTACTCATTTCACACAGCTATTCATTAGCTCTTATTACAAAATTTGATTATTATTCTGTCCTTCATATCTATCAAGTGGACAATTATCTTCACTTGAAAATGAAGCTTATTATTCATTTTTATGATGAATCCAATTTCAACTCACTACATGAAATATACAATGAACAAATAAAGTTAACCTGGCAGACTTTATATCGATTTTGTTTTATAACTATTTGTCTAAATAGTTAGTTGGTTGGTGCGATGTATGTAGATAAACTATTTGCTTTATCGTCTGGTGTATAAATTTTGTATAAAATTAAACATTAAAGTTTGGCAAATAAGCTCTCCTTTGAGTTATATCATTTTCAAGATGTAAAATCACAGTTAAATGCCACATCAACAAATAAAAACTTTAATAGTTGGAATAAATAGCAGTCGCACTTTCTAGTGGTTTGGATTCATTCTGTGAATGATTTCAGAGTCCTACTCCAGATTAACGGATTATCTATAAACAATTAGCTGATGTTAAGAGAAAATAAACGAACTCATATTTCCTCTGTTACCGAATCAGAATGGTGTTAGTTTGAGAGTAGGTTTTAAAATCAAAAATAGAATACGTCTAATGCATTTTATAATACAGAAGAAGCAGAGTAAAACACAAGTAATATCATGAATGAAGAACTCAAGCACCAGATTCCAAAAGTTCATTATGTGATAGCAAATAAATTTAACAAACAAATTTTGAGTGATCGCATGTTCGGAAACTGGGGTTATGTACACAGAGCCCGAAAGTTTGTGAATATATTCGACTTCGTCAAATAACGTAGACAATAACATAAATAATTTCAAGGTATAACTGCCTAGTAGGATATCTTTTATTTCAATTAAAATAAACAAACTGCTAAATTCTTACATGATTTGCAGAAGAGAACAATAAAATCAGTCTTCTTTCGTGTATCTATATCTAACAAAATAAAAACTGTAAGAAGCTTCGGGAGAAAAAGTTAAACAGCTACATTTAACTTGTCTGATGCACAGTCGATCGACTAGTTAACGATCAGTTTGATTTAGTCACCGTACAATCAGGGTCTGACCAGTTATCGATTTGAAATAAATCTATTTTTAAAAAGCCTGTTTATTCGGTCCACATTATTTAACTGCTTTTAGCGGTCAGATTTAGCTATATCTGTCCACTTTTTTCTCATTTGTCCTAATGATTTAACTGTGAATGGTGCTTTTGGTTACGTCTAGTTAATTATCACTGCAATACGGTAATATGATAGTGAAACTGGTCTGAGTGACCAAGTTTATACTACTGCTGAACCGGATACTCGAACGGTACACTGCATAAACACTGGATTGCGTTATATCAGATACTCAACTCACGACCAGATAGACAACCAGAGTAGGAGATAGACAATACCTTGTTCCACACAATTACACGGAGTAACTCTTAGTGATTCCGTAGTAGAAATCAATTAGAGGAAAGGGAATCGCATATTCAGTAGTCAGTAGGCTAAGTGCTCGTTTATCAAACTGCAATCACCAATTATATTTTATTTTCAATACCACAGCACAAACTAACACTGTGACTTCAATTCATTATGTATTAATGTGAAAGAGATCAAAAAAAATAATATATTAAAAACTAATGAAAGAATTTCCAGAATATTTTTTGAACAAATAATTTTCTAATCATTTAAAACTCCACATTCAATACAACTAAGTGATTTCCATGGAATTCAACTCATCAAATCTCACATCGAAATGGTTTACAACTAATGATATGGTTACTAGGGTGGGTGTGGCCATGATAAAAAATTGAGCACATATTTTAATGAGTTAAACCAATCCTTATCTCTTTGAAAACTTTCGGTTATACATGCAAAAATTTATTTTTAAGGGTACAAAAAAACAAACGATTTATAATGTCACCTAATTAGTGCTGCAGGGTCATGTTCATTTTCACTGGAGTGTATGAGTTATAAATCTTCCCTTACAGAACAGACATATGAATAACTCTTTTATATACAAAGTATATGACAAAATAAATGAACACACAAAATAGCTTATAAGTGTCTAGTAATACACAAATGTTGAATACTTGGTAAGTTTAGGATTTTAAGGCATCGGTCAGTTTCTCGTTTATAATTAAAGAAAGACGTTCACAGTTCAAAGAGAATATATTCACACAAACTTGAATATATTCAAGAAATCAACAAAAAAAGCAACTGTGTAAAAATACAGTTCTATAAGGAATAATCTGTTTTCACTGTCCTTATTTCGTGATTCGAAATATCAAAAAATTACAAGCTTTGAAAAATAAGACAATAAGAAATTGTTATCAAATAAAGTTCTGTCTGTATGTTAAAGTCAGTAAGACAACCTGATCAAAAATAAGCTTCAACTTAAAACAGTTTCCTCTCTTAAAAAACAAAGTATGGGGAGTGAGCAAATGTTATGAATAAAAATAATGATTAAGAATTTTCTGTGTTATTACTATTACCATCAATAGTGGTAATATATTTCGTTTTATTTTCAACTTCATAAGTATTTCTAAATGTAAGAAGCATTCGGTCAGTTAATGTTGAAGGAGATGTAGTGTTTTTACGTAATATGCAGTGAATTGTTTGCTTACTTTTTATATCCATGAACTTTTTATCATATGTATTATGTGTACTAGTATTACTGTCAAGGTCAAAGATGGTATTAATGTTATTGTTATTATTGCTATTATTATTATTATTATTATTGTTTTTTATACACTGGAATGGGAATTCAAAGATATTAGGCACAGTAGTTTTAACATCATACTCCATAAAAGAAAATAAAGGGAACCACACCATTGCACGTTCTCTACCCGGTCGGTGAAGAATATTACTACTAGCTAAACAGTGATAATATAAAAATAGCCTAGACGAAACATAAATGGCAATAAATACATCAATGGAATAATGTTCATGACATGCAAGTATGAAAAATACACCAAAAATGTTTAAAACCCAGCAGAATGTGTGCAAAATATGTAAATTTTGAGGTGAATATTCAGTAATAAAAAAGTTGAGAAGTGTAAGACAAGTGGTATGACCACTAAACATATAATCACCACAAGTTTGTATACCACTGATGGACATACCCATACCTAACCAAATGTCAAGCACACGTTTAAGACGTTCAGTTTGATTTTTCACAATGTAAGGACTACAATGATCAGCTAAATGTTTACCTGGAACACTGAGTGAAGTGATGATCATGGTAACTGATCTCAACAAGAGCACTGTACCTGTAAGTACAAAAAAACGACGCACAAGAATACATCTGTATTTGTGAAAAATCAGTACAATTATCCAAATTGTAGACAAAACAACACCAACCCATTCTGCTGCCGCGAATCCCCAACTAATATGTGGAAGATTATCTAGAAACAAGTCTGGAAGTGGGGGATATTTTGACATGTCAGGTAAACGTTCGTGAGCCAAAACCATCACAAACGAAGTAATACATGTAGAAATCAAAAAGTAGAAGGCACTAATGAGAAGTTTCCACGAATTTGATGTTTCTTCAACTACTTTATAATTGGTATCATTTAAAAAAGAACTATCAACAATATATTCTGAGCTGTTAATATCCATCAGTTTAGAAGAATTTGATTTATCAGATACTTTATTATTCAAAAAATCCATTGCACAGTTATACTCTAAAACACATGGTAGAGTTTTTTCTCCTGAGCTCTGTTGTTTGATTTTATATCGCCATATAGATGACAAAAATAATATACGCTTGCGTAGCCCAATCTGTGTAATCCCCATTTCGTCTAAATCTTTTTTGCAAAGAAGGCAAAATGAAAGACCATCGATAATATTCTGTGTGAAAATGTCAGATATGAATTCAGGAATTCCATGATTCGATAAGTATCTCGAAATATCTGAAGAACTAGCGTGAATTGATATCATCTCCTCTTGTAGACAAAAAGACATCTGAAACAAAAAAAATATGAATAAACACTCACAAAGATTTTTATGATGGTATTTTTGAGGATATATCAAGCTGCACCGAAAAGTATTAGATAGGAGACAAAACTATCAATCTCCACGTATCTAAAGCACTAACAGAAAGCTAGTACATAATATTTACTCATCAGCTAAAGCTTTTTTCAGTTAGAGAGTGATTGTCACTTAGAAATAATATAATGCGGTAATAAAGACTGACTTAATGTACCTGACTTAGAACTACTCTTCTGACCTGACCGTAGCTGCTACCCTGACGTGATGGTCTACCGTAATGAACCAACCGACCTATACTGGCTGGGGCATATGTTTCTGTAGGTTCTATCATGCCAGTCAGGTCGGTTGGAGAACGGTGAGACTAAAAGCAGTTACTCAAGGTCTGAGGACAAAGTGGTACTAGTGATTGGAAAGGAGTGTGACAGCAGTAAGGTGTTTCCCTCGCACAACCAGCATCAGCAGCGATGCTGCCTTCTCACGATGAAAGGAAGTGTTTTGAAAAGGTAGACCATAAAAGTAGCACATTTCACCTCAACCCACGGATTTCCGTTTCCGGCGGTAGAGCCGTTTGAGGATCTGAGCTTACACTTCAAACACCTCCCATTAAAAGGCCGTTTGTGACCAGTCTTAAGCAGTTATCTCCTGGGCTCTGCAGTCACGCTCTCAGGTCGGTAAGACAGACGCTAATCTAACTTCCGTTTAAGGTTACTGGATAAACACCCACGTTGTGGGCGACCGGGAAATGACATCCCCTCTCATTTCCGAAGCAGCACACGAGACTAAATCAGTTACGATCAAATCCTTCCCTTACCTTTTATAACCCTCTTACCTCACTGACTCACGTTTTTTTCATTCCTTTATTACCTCAAGCCGCTGATGCGAATGTTGTGACTACACCAAACACAATTTCAGGTCTCCTGAAACACCGTTCTGAACCCAAGTTGAAGCTTCTAATCTCCAATAATGTCTTCGAACCCTAGTCTTCTTTATTAACATTAGTACCTCTACTATCTTTATCACTATGGGATTTGATTTGACATCTGCGTCTTTGTGCTAATGTGGTATGGCAACATGAACTTATGTACATACGTACGAAGTTCTACGTTGCAACTGACTGACTGACTTTTAATCTCCGGCTCCATTAACTAGGATCTTAGAATCTCGCTCCATCGATGTATAATGCATCTCCGAAACGCGCATGCGGGACCTCATCATTTCAAAATAAAGACCCAGCCCGATTTACTCTTCGTGTGTCTGGAAGTCCTGCTGCTGCTTCCTAGAGTCTCGCTGGTGTACGTATAGCATTGAGTAGCAGGGCAGAACTATCTCTTCTAGACTGGATCCCAGTAGATAGTCGCTTGTGCACTGTCCGACTAAACGGGACAGTAAGGACTCGGAAAGGTGAAGACACTCGCCGTTGCCTATTCGTCGTATCTGTCTACGCTCCCACTGACTGCAGTTCAGACTATGTAAAAGGTGAGTTTTACAGAAAGCTTCCGGACCTCCGCCAAAATGTTAGGCACTCTGATATAGTTATGATGGCTGGTGAACCAAGTGAAAAGGAAAGCCACGTGGGTGGATTTTACGGTGTCGCGGCTGATCGAACAGATAATGACGACCGTCTGCTGCAACTACGCTCAGATAATCGCTTATTTCTGGCAAATACCAACTTTAAGTATAAGGAAAAACACCTATTGACCTGGCGACCACCAAAGCCGTCTCAACGCTGGACCCAATCAGACTACATCGCTATGATTGCGAACAATGGTGGGTAGCGAAAGCAATAGAGAATGGAAAGGAAGCAACAACAGGTAACAGTAAGAAACTATTCGAACTTATAAAAAACAGTGTTAGAAATCCGACTGTCAGTCAAACTATCTCGGAAAGTGTTAGACCTATTATTCATTCTTAATCAAAGAGATTTTATCAACGGGAAGAACACTTCAGGGATCAATCCAACTGGCCTTCAGCCACACTTCGGTTGCCCAAATCTCCATTCAACCTGAGTGGCTATTCGACGTAAGTCCTCCGACTCTTTATGAAGTTGAGAAAGCTATAGGAAGCCTGAAGCAAGGGAGAGCAGCGGGTCCTGGTCGATTGATCCCTGAGATTTTTAGGATGGTGGCCCAGCTTTAGCAGTTAGAATGACACAGATCTTAGCTAGAATTCGGTAACTGGCCTCAATCACTGATTGTCCTAGTCTATAAAAAAGGACAAAAGTACTCTTGTGACAATTACAGAGGATCAGATTAACTAAATAAACTCAAGAAAATCAGCGTATGTTCAGGCCTGGACGTGGATTTATGGATATTGACAATTCGTCAAATTCAGGAACACAGACAGATATCCGTCTGCTAACCGAAGGACCAGTCTGCTGCGCAGCAGGTCGCTCGGTCCTAATATACGAGTGTAAAACATAACCACTAAGAGTATAGGATATTTTTAGGTTATTAGTATTCGATCACAGGTGTCTTGGAAGCATTGCTCGTATATCCTGGGACCACTGAGTAAGCAATGCTGTCGTTAGGAAACGAGTACTAGGTAAGGATGGCAGATCAGTAGATGAAGTATAGAAACTTCGTCAAATGAGGTGGTCGGGATATTTGTTACGAATGCCCAACCGCTGACTGCCTCGACGATCGATGTTTGTGGTGTAACGATAGGGCTGGAGGGAGGCTAGGAGTGGCCATACTAAAAAATGGCACAAATAAATGAAGTCACAAACAAGTAGACTGAGCCTTGTTGGGAGGTGTAGCCTATCTGGCTGGGGTCAGCAAGACAATAGTAACCGATGATTAAAAGCCTTAAATGACATGGCTCAATATTGTTTGCAATGGCGCACGTTCATCCATTGTTCGTCTGAGATCTTCTCCTTCTGACTTCCTCATGACCGTTTTTCTCTACTTTTTTAAATCGATTACTATGGAATATACTTCTTGAATGATATCTTCGGTCCCTAATCTTTTTTATTACCGCTAATTCTTCTACTATCTCTACTACTATGGGATTTGAATTGACAATTAGATCTCTGTGTGCTAATGTGGTATGGCTGCTTGAAATAATGTACGTACGTACAAAGTTTTACGTTGTAGCTGACTGAATGACTACTCTTCTGATATGAATTGTTGATGATCAATGGCTGTCGTAACAAATAATCGACCATTATGATTACTATAGTGACAGAAATTTAACTTAGTCTTTAAAACATTTATGAATACAGATGAAATATTTAGACGATTATCCAGCAAAATGAAAGCAAACCTTCCATTTATAAAGTCGAAATCAATTGAAATAAATGCAATTGAATGTTTCGACTAGCCTAATCGATGGTTTTCGTGCGTAAGGAGAATTATCAAGTAAACTAATATATCTCAAATCTGTGTTGAGTTGTTACTTTTAATGAACATAGTAGTTACTTCCCTTTCTGATACAAAAAGGGAAAAATATTCGTTGGTAAATAGGTCAGACAGTTGGTCATAATTCGTAAAAAGCTTGACACAAATGTGTATCATCCAAAGTTGATATGTAGCATCAGCACGATGAGATGGCAATAAAAAGATGAATATTAGAGCAGTTGAAATATTCATAGTTCCAGTCATCATTATGTAGGTTGTGAGAGATGTAAAGCGGTCAGGAACTATGAATTAACTTTGCGATATCTCATTACGGTTTTACTGATAAACATTCTTCATACGTCTTTCTCACTAAATAGAAGATAAATTCAGACTTATCTTGACTTTCGCGGTTTCAAACTTTAAAGTGATATCATGTACATCCCAGCCAGAAGGAAGTATTTATTGTAGCTTAATGATTCAAGTGATTCTGGCTTGAGGTCCTGAATTTCGTCCATTTCAAGGAAACCTTGGCCGATGAAAGAATGTAACTTTACTTGCGAAATACCTAATGCATTTTATGTATTGAAATTGATATTACGATAGCCATTTACTGACATTATACAGTTTTCATTTTCCTATAACTTACTACTACTCATAATAGAGCAAACCTAAGGGTTCAAGATAAACTAATCAGTGTAACTATGAAACAAAATTTAGCATTGCACGATATTGGTACTAATATAATTTCCCTCCTTAATGCCTAGTATTTCGATAAGTCCCGATAAATAATGAAAAAATCTCCGAATATATCAAGCAAAAATTAGATTATCATCTACCTAACACTTGAACATACATTTTATCGATATTATTTTTATGTCAAAGAATAAATAATATCTATAGTGACATATAGTTCCTGGCCTAAAATTTACCAAATAATGGAATTTTCCCAAAACTTCAATCAAACTTTTCACGCCTATACGTTCTGTAGGGAACTATATTTCGACAGATACTCCTGTTCACCGCATAAATACTTGCGAAATAGTAGTTACGAGGCTAAAACTTCATGTTCGATTGTTACTAATTCATTGCAGAGTGCAATACGTATGTCTCATATTATATACGTTTTTAATCGAATCACTCTGTGAAACAGCGACACAAGCCGAATACTGTAAATGAGACAGTTGAGTTGTGCAGTACATAGCATTTTAAAAAATTGAGTTGCGTGAGAAATTGCAGAGAAAGCTCTTCCTGTTATTCTGTTCATAAAGTAAAGTTTTTTCAACACTAGTTTGGGTGAAAATACTTTAATTAGTAACTGTACGCAAAATATCATGAAAATATGGCCCAGTTAATTACCTTCAGAACCTCCAGTGACTGGAAAAGAAATATCTATCACTGCTGGAGAATATTCCGAAACATCGTAAGCGAACGAATCTTTAAAACCACCGGGTCTAATTAGAAACGCGGTAACACCTGGATCCAGAACATTTGGATCCAATATCCAATATCTTTTTCACGAACTAGTGTAAACCAGTTGATTTCTTTGCGCCCGATTCTTGTTCTTTCGGTACAGTTCCAAGTGTTCGGTAATGTTCAATGGATGGAGGTCTAGTCTACTCGACCGTCTAATTCTAGTAGGTTGGCAGTTGGTTGTGAGTTTGTATGTCTCTGGATTTGAATGAAAACGTTTGTTTCAGGGCAGTAGGATTTCTGGATACCAGCAGCCATCACGTTACCAGACGGGAGATCAGTTAGTTGCAATATGGAGAGCAGTAAGGATAATAAAGATAAAGTTCTAACGATAATATGAATAAAATTTCAGAACTCAGTGTAAGCAGGGGGGAGAGGACAGAGATGAGAGGCGAGATAGATTAAGCAAGTGATCTGAGGAGATGACAATGATAACAACTAGCAGGTCTCAATATATGCATCATGAACAGCTTGTCCATGAGGGAGATGATAGTCCGTATGTGAGTACGTGATTATCAAGTCTCTTCTCTCGGCTGGGAGAGCATTCCAAGTTGCGACGACTCGCAATAAGAGGAAGTGTGCACGAATCTGAGTGTTCGCTCTCTGATGTGCAATCTTTTGAAGATTGCTTCGAGGGGAGTAAGATGCTCGCGTCGGGATGGTTTGGCGTGCCTGATATGTTGTACGCCATAATCAGATCACCTCTGATTCTCCTGTAGCTCAGTGGAAATAATCCCAAGAGCTGTAGTCTGTCATTGTAGGGTTTATTTTTCGACCCTATCACCCATTTGGTCGCTCGTCTCTGCACTCGATCCAACAGTTAACAGAGATAATCAGCGAGATAGATCAAGTTAATTATCTGAAGAGATGTCAATTATAACCACTAGTATGTCTCAGGACATGCATCAGGCACATCTGGTCCACGAGGGAGATGGTAATCCGTAATCCGCACCCGACTCCCTTTCAGTGTGTAAGTCGTTCGTGTCACGTGGGGCAAAATAAACATAACGTCTTAATTTGATTGATGTAGTTTTAGACCGTTTTTCACTGCGCATTCCCCAATGTATGTAAGGTCTGCATTGTTCTAGTCCTTCCACGTACTCTACATTTTGTACAGGTGACTTTCAGATTTGGAAATGATTATATGTATGTGTTTACATGAATGCTTTTCTATATATTTTGCAGTCAGACTGAGAACTTAAAAAATATTTTAACCAATCACAAAAGCCGACAGGTTTGTTTAGATTTACTTTCATTCATATCGAGATGTAATCTATAAAAACATGAAATAAGAAAATATAACTTATTATGACGAAGCTGTTATTTGCGAACTGTTTAGTACATGGTTCTCCCTCAATCTGAACACATCTCCTACCCCCGATACTAACACTAACTGTAGCAGTATGCATAATCTTTGTACCATCAAATTTGATCTTAACAATATTCAAGCGGCAATTAAAACCCTTAAACCCAATGGCAGCTGTGAGGCGGATGAGATACCTTCCATACTTTTTAAAATGGCGAGACCGAACTTTTCAGCGCTTTTGCTTAAAATTTTTACCTTATCCCTTGAGTCTGGTACATAGCCCGTATCGTGGAAGTTGACTCATATTGTCCCAGTACATAAATCTGGACCGAAAGACTTAATCCAAAACTAAAGACCGGTTAATATCACCCCAGTTATATCACGTGTGATGGAGAAAGTGGTAAAAGATCAACTATCTGATGACTTACTCAGGGAAGGTCACATTGACCCCTCACAACATGGCTTCATTAAAACTAGGTCATGTACCACATGTCTTTTAGATTTCTTTAATGAGGTTACCAGCATACGCGATCAAAAGCAACTAGTAATCGCGTTGCATTTCGATATGAAAAGGCTTTCGATAAGGTACCTCACAATCTCTTAATCAACAGACTTCAGTCCGTCCGGATTACTGGCCACTTGTTGCAACGGATTAGGTCGTTCCTCACAGATAGATATCAGATTACCAAAATCAACTCTCATACATCTACACATCGACCAACTGCCAGTGGTGTTGTTCAGGGCAGTGTTTTGGGTCCACTGCTTTTCATAATCTACATCAAAAGCATATGCAGTCGTTCCAACACTGGTAAAACCTACCTCTATGCGGATGACCTAAAAGTGATTTATCAAACTAGCAAACCTGACTTAGGAAACTTGTTGCACACAATCCAGCATGAACTCATACTGTAGATGTCTAGTGTAAGCAACGGAACCTTTAACTTAATAATGAGAAGTGTGGTTGGATGTGTTTCGGAGACACGTCTCCCAAATTAGATCTCACTCTCAACAGGAATGTATTGCCCAAACTCACATCCGTAACTGATCTTGGAGTGCATTATTCGCACAGCCTTATTTTCTCCGAACATATCTCTAATGAAGTTTCCCGAATGAAAAGATTGCTTGGTTTTATCTTTCGTAACTTCCTTCATAGAGAATCCAGAACAATTCTCTACAAAACATGCGTAAGACCTATTGCTGAATACTGCTCTTTCTTATTTTCTAACTTACGCCTGTCTGATATGTTGAAGATTGAAGGAATACAAAGGAACTTTACTCGGAAAGTCCTAAATCGTAGCTCGCTCACTGACTATCCCGATGTAATGAACTCGGGCTCGATCCATTATGGAAAAGAAGGCTTAAATCCAATCTGATCCTTTACTTTAAACTCCTACAAAAGCTCACATATTTCTCCTGTAGTTTAGTCCTTATCCATGGCCCATGTACACATAACCTTCGAGATAAAGTTTCTACGGTCAAACTCGAGAAGTATAAATCCAAAACTCGAGAAAACGTCTTTCTCTCTAAGTACACACTTATATGGAATAGGCTTCCCTCAAAAATACGCATGGCAAGTGGGTTACATGAGTTTGTTCAACTTCTTAATGATGCTCTCAGTTGCACTGACTCTTCTGCGCTCGTGAACTCACTCGCACCCTGCTTTCATATTAATAGCCCTGCATACACTTTAAACACAATAAACTCAGTGCTGCGTCTTATTTAGTTATTTTTACCCTCCCAAATAGCATTAAATTTTTCTAGTTGAATATAAATCTCTTTAGTTTTTATTTGAAATAGACAGGTTACTCTACTAACTGGGTCGATCGACACTGTTCAACTGTAAACTGGTTGATTAGAACGCACTCTACTCTCCTGGGCGCAACCTTGTCAACACTTTCAACTGTGTGAGTTTCACATTGCCTATTATCAATTATACTGTTCTCACGTACACGCTATTGACTTACCGTGATCCCTTAGTGTTATCTATTGCTCCACTTTTAACTGTGATAATCTTTATGTCTCCTGCTTAGCTAGTTAAATACATCTTCTCCACTACATTCTAAATGCTTATACCTTGTTTGAAAATCCTTACTATTCCTCCATAACTGTTAACTGTATAGCATTGATGCCTAACCTATAGTTCACAATTTGTAACAGCCAGACAAGTTTGTGGAAGGAACTTGAAGAAATAGTGTTTCTCAATAGGATGTGAGACATAGTGCACCAAGTAGAACTCAATAGTTTCTTTCAATTAGTTAACATGAGCCTAACAACACAAAAGGAAGGAGGGTGGAGTTAGTGACCAGCAAACATCGATGGTGTCGGCGATAACTTCAAACAACCCATGTTTGTGGGGCAGAACATTTTGTTTGCTTTCGGTTCTTTAGATTGATGAGACGACTAATCAGTAACACTGAGGTTGCTCTTATAGGCTTGCTACTTCTGAGGTTCATGTTTCCAAAACTATGCTGAGATCGCTATTCTGTCGAGACACCCGCAACATTCTTACTCAGGCGATTACAGTATGACTTAGAGGTCGGCATTCAATAATAATAATAATAATAATCATAATAAAAGCAGTTAGACAGTGAGAACTTTTAATCATCAATGTTTTCTTTTTACAAACTCTACTCTTTCGATTTCAACGTACATAAATCCAGCTTCTTGATTCGACTTCTCTTCTATCCACTTGACACTCCACAACTCTTCCTTCTTGTTTGCCATACTCCTTCACCTGTGGGTTATATTCTTATATCCCCATAATTTACTTTAATTTTAGTGGTCAGTATGAATTTTATCTTGACTTACTACTGTAATAGACTACTTCAACATGACAGGTTAAGTAGTGCTTTGGTTATATATATACACTTTCCACACGGCTGCCTTTTTCTCTCTCTTCTCCTTTTCAGAACCCCATTCACGGTGGGAAATCCTTGGCGACTCTGGAGAACATGCACCCAATGTACATGACTGTCTGGATCACAGCTCGTATCAAGCGCGTTCCACATGACCTTTCCCAACAAATTCACTGTTGATCTCGGCAAATCTCCAAAATAACCTATTGTGCACCTTCCTCATTTGTACTCTAATATTGAAAATGTGGCTGTATAATACTGTTTCTGTCAGTGACATGGTGTAAATATGCAATCAGAAAATGACTCTTATACTTTATTTAACTGCTATAACTTTACAGTAATTGTGAAAGCATTTGTGACAATTTGATCTAGCCTGTAAACTGGCGTGACTCTTGTAACGTAGTTATTTGAGAATAAATATATTATTATTATTATTAACTGTGGGCACAGTAAATGCACCATGAATACCGAATAAATTGCCCTAGTAGACCTATGCTTATTCCCCAAACCTGAACTTGAAATAGGTAATAAAAAAATGATAAATTAGCGTATCAAACATGCTGAGGGATTGAAGCTTGGAAGTGGTATGAAATGTCTGCCAATATTCCAGATGTTGACAGTTTCGTTATTGAAGCCACCAGACTCAGGCTTGCAGTCTCATCATCTGTCTTCTAAGCAAATTCCAGTTCACTGACTCTTCATATGTGAAACATATCTCCGGTTGTGTTAGTATCGCACTGGATTTGGTTAGAGGCTTCTATTGCTCACGGTAACATTAAACAGTGTGGCCAAATTTGCAAGCATTTTTACGCGTGAATTCACCCTTAAGAAATATTATTATGGTAAGTGCCTGCAGTTATTCTTGCACGTTTATATTCTTCCTTCTGTAGGCTAGGATATGTGCTACAGCTTTTGAAAATGAGTAATCACTAGAGGTCCATCACACCACAGACCACTTTGTCATTGTGATCAGCCATCGTATTATGCGTTTTATTCTACCACTCTAAGTCTATGAGACTAGTGGACTGGTCAAATGGTTAATACGCTAGACTATCAAGTCAATAAAATAATATGTGCTAAAATGCACAGTTTAAGTCCCAACTTGAAACGGTCACTTACGTTGTGAATTGCAGGTACGCTACCTGGGCTCTCTTAGTAATCATGAATCACTCACTCATTGAGCAGAGAAATGGCATACCTTCCCCAAATTTTTCATCACTAATAATCTCTTGTTTCTCCGACTCCGTCATCAAGGCTTTTTACTCTGTAAAATTTCTTGGTACACTTATATGAAGAAAGTGCTACTTACTTTTGATGTCTTCTAAACTTTCATGCTTCGTCAACTTCTACTCATTTCAGAAATCACAAATTTTTGGTAGGAAATTCGAAATCTTGAGGTTCAGATCTGTATAATGAGAACAAAAAGCCCAAAGCCCATATCAGTATTTTTGTGGTAGGCTTCGAAAGCATCTAATCTTCTCTTGAACAAGTCTACGGAAAATGCTGACACCATGTCTTTGAGCATAAGGTTCAAAGAGCTGACGACTCGGTGTTAAAATCTAAATTGAAAGGTTATTTCGCCCGCCCTTGGCTTCTATGCTCATCTTCTATATCCTCTGAGCCTTTTTGATCTAGTAGGGAGAAAAAGAGAGGTATATCATGTCCTAAATTTTTTCTTAATATCCCGTGAATCAACACCAAACAAACTCTCTATCTACAGAAAGACAGAGTACGAGTCCAAATTTTCCTAGCTACACTATTAATTAAAACCTTGGAATTTCAGAAGTGCTCAGGTATTATTTTGAGTGATTATGGTCTTTCGTGTGTCTTGGAGGGTCCCGAGTGAAAACTGCCTCTAAATATTTCTCCACAACTCCTTTTTCTGGGTTTTCCTACATCAGTTGGTTCCGTCCATCCCATCACTAGGCAACGAATCTAACCGTATGTTAGTCTTATCGAATTTATGCAAAAGAACAGTCTCTTCGGCTTCTAGATTACATAACAACGATTTTATTCAAGGTTACAGGATTGATTGCCTTTATGTCTACCTCCTGCATATTACGAGAATCAATACACGTGCTTGATAAATCGGATCAATCTAAAGCGTTTGATAACTCCTTCCTAAGGTGGAAATAATCACTGTGCGTCAATAATGATGCTCAAGGTTAATGAAAAGATTTTCAGCCTCTTTCTGATAGAACTTCGAATGCACTGGAATGAAGCCAGTGAGATTACGGTCACTAACGACTTGCAATCAAACGATGTTTGTGATAACATAACTTCTGAGTTTCCTCTGTTTATAAAGAGTGTATTAAATGCGCCTATTATAAGGCTTTTACACCCGTTTTACTAGGCTTTCAGTTCATCCAAGAGGAGGAAACCCACTACACATACTGGACTGTGGTAAACTACAAATAAAACAATGTCTAGCCGTTAGTATTTCGGCTGGCAGCGCCTCATATCACATGTCCATGAGTATAGTGGCTCTGTCTCAAAAGCTCCAATATTCAAAGTGCCTAACATGCACAAGATGATAAACCTTACCTTTGAACTTCAATGTCGTCCAGTTTTGAAGTCAACCATAGCGCTGAGACGATATGAATGCCACCATTTCCTGTGTCTATTAGGTTTTGACCCGCACAATTTTGTTTAATAGGTCGTACTCATTTGAATAAAAACCGTTTAATGCCACGAAACGCCTTCCCGTACCACACAGATCTGTCTGTCCTAATCTTCTTTAATGTTCCGGTAGGTTTTGCATTGCCATAAGGTTTTTTTTATCTAAATCCTGTTCATAACACTTTTAAATTTTTTATTTAAGAGTTATCCGTTTCCTTATAACCTTACAGAGATCTGCATTCTCGCCCTACTTTACGGGTTTCTAGCGTACTCGCTTCATTATAATTCGAGGCTGAATTCATAATAATGCTTCTTGATACCTTCTCTGACGGCTTGTTTGAGGGCAGCTCTCCAGCTGTGTGTAGAGGCTGAGTTGTCTCAGGAATCAGTAAGAACTTTGTAAAACGGCATGCCTAAAACAGCCAACTTGATAGTGGCTTAAAACATCACATGCATGCCGTCAGCATGGGTCCGATGAAACCGTTGTGATACCACTTGTTTCAGTTGTTGTATTGAATTTCATACAGGAACGAAGCATATAGACCTATCAAAACTGTCTAGTTTGCGGCACTAAAGATTTTAAGTGCGGATACACAAAGGATAAGAATTTATCTGAGCATCAAAAAATACAACAAACAAATGTGATCATGAACTTATGTTCATTCAATCGGTGGATGACCGTTGAACCTTTTGGACAAAACTGCATTGCTTTTCTTCGTGAATTCTTAAACAGCAACAGTTAATGTAAATATTGAAAAATCTCACTTTGTTGGATTGTGAATATTTAAATAATGCAGACCAGTTGGTAGTTTTTGAATCTAGGACTCTACCACTCAATCTGTTCTCGTGAGTGTTGTTAATTTCTGTCGTGATTCTATTGTTCGTAAAAGCTTTTTACAATGTTCGCAAGTCGATTTAAAATATTAACTTATATGCTTTAACTAGCCTATGCCCATATATTATAAATATTCCTAGAGTATGCTAGAAGTGAAATTCACAGTCAAAATATAATAGTCAAAAATCTAAAAATCATTCGTTTTTAGCCACGAACATTTCTCGTTTGCATGTTATCGGCCAGAAGCTTACTTTTTCAGACTTGTAGGACTTGTTAACTTTATAGTGCCTCAGAATAAAGTAGAAATGTAATCCTTTTGTTTGGTGAATCATTTTCTCCCACGGTAGATCTACTTAAAATTATATGTTTCTACTTAAAACGGTCATTTAAATCGGTCGCGATGTCCTGATATCCACTGCTTATGATTAATTTGGCATTGCAACGCAAGCTGCGTTGCGTTACCTACGAACATCCTTCTTGGGTATAGAGCACCCTGGTACATCTTCGGAATTCGTTGTTTCAGCTGAGTATTAACGTTTGACTCAAATTTCCGTCCTAATATTGGAAGCTGAGCAGATCGCCTGTTTAATTGTTAGTAATACTTACATAGGAATTTAGATAGAAATCAAAAAGTTAGGAAATTGGTATTGCGCATTGAAGATTGCGTCTAACATGTTGACAACTCATAAGTTAGTCTTATGTAATAAATACTGTATATTGGATAGCTTATGTTAATCCCCAATGTGACCACTTTTGTAAAGATTGTTTTTATGCTAGATATTTGAATAGTCTCAGTCGTTGACTAAGTAAGAAAAATAGAACCCTAACTTAGGTTCATTCAATAGCAGTATCTGGGTATTATTGAATGCCTTTGGGGGAATTTTAAAATTATAGTTCTTTTAATTTACTTTATTTATGTTAAACACTAAAGACAAGCTTCGAAAAGCCAAACAGTTCAAATTGTTTTATTCACCAAACAACTCATCGGACAGTATCGAAATCTCGAGAATTCTTATAATGGCGAATTATTATTAGTAGGTTTCCATCAATTTATGAAAAGCATCTTGTATTTTAGATAACGAAATCACTGGTTTTCTCAGTGTAATACTCTGTCTCGCCATAATAATATTTTACCAGTGACTTATTCAGTTTTAATTAAATTGATGAAGTTTTCTGCATATCTTAATTTCGTGATTATCATTTTCGATAAGGCGATATGTATATTTTGGAAACCTTCAATAACATGGGATTATATTTCGGTCATAAAATTTGGACATTATTGATACGTTCGTAAAATATGTTTTCTTGTTATGGTCTTGTAATCTGTAAATTGATATCAGTGCTAACTCTCAAAATATAAATCATTATTATTATGCCAGTTAGGATATTTTTTGCATACAAACGCAACTTCGTGAAAAATGAAATATCGCAATTTCTAACTGTCGGTAGGTTTCCTTCTACACCGTTAGGACGTTCTTGTTTCTAAAAAAAGGCGTGTAGAGTGATAGAAGTTTGTGGATGGCAGTGAACTTAGTCAGTGTAGAAACATAAAAGAGACAATGAGTTAACAAAAACTTAAAATAAGTGATTGACTAATATATATATATATAACCCCTATGCTTATCAATAAAGACATCAAATTAAAGTTATCAGGTAATTCCATTACCACAGACGGGATGTTAGCTTTAAAAATTCGTTAACATTGCGCTTTATCACATCATTTTTTGTCGGTAAGTTTTTAAGAAATTATTCACGGCCTTGTAAATAACCATAAACGATAATCACCTTAATATAAGACTGATATCGGTGAGAAAGTCATCTAATTTCCCACGAAGTCAAATGAACTGTCTGAGGTTTTGTCAATATACTTTTTACCCTTACACTCTAGAGAAACTCTCATTTGGTCCATTTATTAATTCATGGTTGTGTGGTCAGAAATTTATTCATGGTACCAGTTTTTAATAATGACAGTCAAAGTATTGACATCCAGAACATGAAATAAATGAGCGAGAAGCCTCTCAGTTTCTATTTATCTCCCATCATGCCCATCTGCATATATTTCTCAAACGAAAACAGCTCAGAATATTATATTCTGTTGACGAATAAGCCTGGTGATTTTGAACTCATTATTTAAGATAAAATCGGGATATATGTGTTTAAAACTGGACCATATTTTGTAACCTTACTCAATCTCCTACATTTAAATCAAGCACGAATCAACAAAATTAGATGTAGGTTATTGCCTTTTGAGAATGAAGACATAGAAAAATGATTGTAAAAATAAATTCAAGTCGAAAACTTTCCTAAAGTTGCTATTATGTTAAAATTTCTGTGCTCTAAAAAATAAGTCTAATTTCTATAGTTTAAAATTTCTCTAACTCACATTTATGACGATTCGCCAATATTACGTCAAAAAATGCTATTCGAGACTCAGAATACGAAAATCAGTAAAAGTATCATATATACGGAAAAGACTATAATTTTGTCTGAGCTGTCATAATCGTGTTAAATTTTGAGAAATAGCCAAATTTATCTAGACTTATAACAAATAAAATTATCATTCTATTGTCTTTTATGACAAATCGAAGTGATTATTAGTGATTTTTCTGAAACAATTCATGTTTTGATGTATTTTTCGGAAAAATCAAGTAACTATTCTACATATATTATGCTCTCTATTTATTACGTCTTGCTTATATTATGCTTCAAAGGCATTGGTCAAAAGTTTGAACTTAACCTACCTAGTATTTTGATCATAGAACTAAGACCTTTCAAGAAACAAGTCTTCTTGTAGTCCAATCTAACCATAGGATCTGAACGTGTAACTAATATAAAATGCCTTGGTGCAGCTGGCGTTGTAAAGGATTCCCTCTCTCTCTCTCTCCATAGAAATGCTTTTATGCTGTCATTCGTTTATAGCCTACTCCGAATAAGTCATACTTATTACCTTCTTGCCACTAATTGTTATTTACCGAAATGAGGGGCCGAAATACCGAATTATAAAGGTTAGACTCGGTTGGTAGATACAGACAATCTACCTAATGGTGTTGAAAAAACCCTGGTTCCAAACTAATGAGACACGATTCCTAGGATCTGAAGGGAACAAATGGCGTTTGAACTTATATCAATCACTGGTCTCCATATAACTTCATGTGATTATCAATAATTATAAAGTTACACAGTTGCTCTAATTCACTACCAGTTCAAACGGTAACAACTCGCCGTTTGGCTAGAACGTATTTATCTTACTTCGTTTCAGTTGCTCCCTTGTTGTCATTCTATGTTTTCCCTTTTCCTTCAACTCTCATATCTAAAAGTTCTCAAGTCGCCGATTTGTCCAGTTTATGAATTAATCCATAAAATTTGATTTTTGACCCAGCTTTCCTAAAGCCACGTGTGTTACTCAAACTATGATCCTTTAACGCCCACAGTGTGATGCAGACCAAACAACATATATGTCTGGTTATATATATATATATATATATATATATATATATATATATATATACATATATACATATATTCCTTCAATGATAATGATGTTTGCTATGATATCTGACAAGTTATCTGGGATTGATATTTCACTAAACATCAAACAGGGGTGGCATTAATCCGCTGTATCTTCACTAACAGTCGTTTATATGCTGTTAATTCAGAAGACCTCATCAGTTTAACAAGAAGTGGGGATAAGAAACGGTACATCTTCATAATCTTCGCCTGCGTTCTGACAAACTCCAGCTTAGATATAATCGAGAATGAGTTATCCCAACAATCGATCTCCAGAAAACGCGTTCAGTGGAAACTTTAATATTCGAAAAAGATCTGAATGTGTAGGTCGAGCTTCTTGGCTCATAGGAAAGTCCCTTGAGTTGCCAAAGAGAACTCATTGATCGCAGGTCAGAAAACTGACTATTTTATACAGCTTTTTTACAAACTAAAACCTGTTTCTAGCAGTCACGAACTTTTGGCATAGTCATTATCTATGTAGTACCGAGTGTCCACTTTTTGTAACTCGAATCTAGACACAGACTGCATACGTTTCGATAAGTTACAGCTGGTATGGTTGTATATAAGAGTGACGCACTTTCAAAGTACCAACCCCGATTATTTCACTTTTCAACGACTAATGAATTTTTCATCCCAAAAAGGTTGATAAAACCGAATTTTCTGTAGCTCCCATTCCAATAAACCTGGGCAAAGCTGTCTCTTTTCAATACGTTTCTTTCGTATTGGGATCTATGGCGTTCATTAAACAGCTGAGGAAGGAATACATGTTGGCAGAGTTATGAATCTCTTATTTAGAAAAGACTTTTTGACTTTCCTGACCGTAGCTGCTACCTTGACGTGGTGGTCCGGCTTGCCTATCACAATGATTCAACCGAGCTATATTGGTTGGAATACATGTTGCTGTAGGTTCTATAGTACCACTAAAAGCAGCTACTCAAGGCCTGAGGGCAAACTCGCACTGCTGAATTTAGAGAGGTGTGAAGGCAGTAAGGTGTTTCCTCCGGACAACCAGCATATGCTGCGATGCTGCTTTCTCACAAAGAAGGAAGGAAGGGTTAGAAAAGGTTGATCCTACTTCACCTTACTTTACGGATTTCCATCTCCGTCGGTAAGGCCACTTAAAGTACTGAGCTCACACTGTAAACTTCTCACAGAACGACCGTGTGTGACTAGCCTCAAGCAGTTGTATCTTGGGCTCTGTGGTCACGCTCCCGGATCCCTAAGACCAACACTAATCTATTTTTATTTTCGAGTCCTTCAAGAAACACCCACGGTGTGGGCAGCCGGGAAGTGACGTCCGCCCTTATATCCGTTACAGCACACGAGACCAAATTGGTTACAATCAAATCCTTCCTACACCCCTTAACATCTCCCTTATCTCCACGAATAACTCTTCTTACATTCCTTTATCACTCCGCACCTCTGCTGCAGACGATTCGAGTTCTCGAAACGTTATTCCTGGTCTCCTGAAGCCCCGTTCTAAACTATATGTTGGGGCTTTTAATGTCCGGACATTGTGTCAAACTGGACAACAGGCTTCCTTAGCTGGGACTTTAAAATCTCGCTCCATCGATGTATAATGCATCTCCGAAACGCGCATGCGGGACCTCATCATTTCAAAATAAAGACCCAGCTCGATTTACTCTTCGTGTGTCTGGAAGTCCTGCTGCTGCTTCCTAGAGTCTCGCTGGTGTACGTATAGCATTGAGTAGCAGGGCAGATCTATCTCTTCTAGACTGGATCCCAGTAGATAGTCGCTTGCGCACTGTCCGACTAAACGGGACAGTAAGGACTCGGAAATGTAAGGACACTCGCCGTTGCCTATTCGTCGTATCTGTCTACGCTCCCACTGACTGCAGTTCAGACTATGTAAAAGGTGAGTTTTACAGAAAGCTTCCGGACCTCCGCCAAAATGTTAGGCACTCTGATATAGTTATGATGGCTGTTGAACCAAGTGAAAAGGAAAGCCACGTGGGTGGATTTTACGGTGTCGCGGCTGATCGAACAGATAATGACGACCGTCTGCTGCAACTACGCTCGGATAATCGCTTATTTCTGTCAAATACCAACTTTAAGTATAAAGAAAAACACCTATCGACCTGGCGACCACCAAAGCCGTCTCAACGCTGGACCCGACTAGATCACATCGTTATCAGCTACAGATGCAAAGGTTTGATGGAGGACTGTCTTTCGTTCTGGAGAATATGTCTAGATTCAGATCATGCTCTAGTGTGAGCGCGTATTTGTCTGCGTCCTACTGGGCGTAGGAAAAACACTGCAAGGAAACCTCTTAGGGTCCTACTTAATGACAACATAGCTAAAAATAAATTTCAGGAGCAATTAGAAAACAGTAGGGCAAAGATTTAAGTGATGCTAACCCTGAGGCAGCTTGGACTTATATCCAGAAATATGTGAAAACAGCAATGATATCTACTCGTAAGGTAAACCATAAGGCTGGAAAGAAGCCGTGGATCTCAGTAGCATTCATCGAACTCGTAAACGCTCGTAAACTCATCCCACTTGGCTCTGAACATGACGAAGAGTGAAGTTAACTTGGAGGCAGGCTGACAAAAGGCCCACGCAATGATCGCGAGCAGTGGTGGGTGGCGAAGGCAAGAGCGATGTAAAAGCCAGCGGCGATAGGTAACAGCAGACAGTTGTTTCGACTTATCAAGGAAATCGGTATGAGAAATCCATCTGTTAGCGAAACTATCTCAGAGAAGGATGGTTGTATCATTCATCCTCAATCCAGGAGATTGGATCGATGGGCAGAACACTTCAGGGATCAATTCAACTGGCCTTCATCGACACTTTGGTTGCCGACCACCTCTATTCATCCTGAATGGCAAATCGATATACGTCCTCCGACTCTTGATGAATTTGGAAAAGCTATGGGAAATTTGAAGCAAGGGAAGGATCGTGGTCCAGTTTTAGCAGTTCGATTGACTGAGATTTTAAGTAGAATCTGGGAACTGGGCATAATACCATCTGATTGGTCTCAATCACTGATTATCCCAGTTTACAAGTCTTCTTGTGACAATCACAGCGGAACAACTATAACTAATATAGCATCGAAAATATTGGCCTCACTAATACTCCGATGCTTAACGAAAGCTCTTGAAGAGCAGACTAGAGAAAACCAGGCTGATTTTCGACCTGGATGTGAATGTATAGACCAAATATTTGCACTACGTCAGGTCCTAGAACAAAGACACATGTTCAGAGGCCCAACAATAGTAGTATTTCTCGACCTTAGGGCGGCATTTGACTCTGTCGATCGTGAGGTTCTGTAGCAGTGTCTGTCATTTAAGGGTGTACCAGAGAAGTACATTAACCTTATACAAGCTCTCTACTCGAACACCACTGGTCGAGTGAGAGCTTATGGCGAACTGTCATCGGAATTCCTTACTTCAAGTGGTGTCCGTCAGGGCTGTCCACTCTCTCCATTCTTGTTTAACTTTGTCAAAAACATGCTTTTGGAGATAATATTATCTTCGTATGACTTTTCAGGGGTGGGCCTTCTATCAGGAGACTTACTTGCTGACTTAGAATACGCTGATTACATAGTTCTATTTGGTGAAGGCAATGACAAAATACAGAGTCTTCTGAATACCCTAAGCAACAATCCAAACATGTTCGAGATGCTATTCTCCTCGTCGGAAAGTTGCTTCAGGATTGGCTTGTGACGGCTGATGGACTGTTGACTGACGAAATCTCAGCACGAATACAGAAAGCTTGATTAGCTTTTGCCAACCTTCGTCACTTATTGCGTAAACGAGATATCCGTCTGCTAACCAAAGGACGAGTCTACCGCGCAGTACTTCGCTCCGTCCTACTTTATGGATGCGAAGTATGGCCAGTGAGAGTAGAAGATATTATTAGGTTGCTTGTTTTCGACCATTGGTGTCTCCAAAGCATTGCTCGTGTATCGTAGGACAACCGGGTAAGCAATGCTGTCGTTAGAAAACAGGTCCTAGGTAAGTGTGGCAGGTCAGTAGATGAAGTATTGAAACTTCATCAGTTGAGGTGATTGGGAAATGTGTTACGAATGCCTAATCAGGGACTGCCTCGTTGATCTATGTTTTGCTACGTAGGACTAGGTTGGAAGAAAGCTTGTGGCGGTCAACCGAAACGTGGTAGAAATCCATGAAGTCTCTGACAAGTAATTTGAGCCATGTTGTTAGGTGTCAACTACCTGGTTGGGGCCCACGAGATGATAGTAATCGATGGTTAGAGACCTTGAATGACATGGCTCAAAACCGTTGGCAATGGCACAGGTATATTCATTCTTTGTGTTCTCTCAAGTCCTAACGTTCTGAATTCCTCATCACCTCTTTCTCTTTCTAAAGTTATCTCACTGAATTATACTTCCTGAATCATATTTTCGAACCCTAATCTTCTCCATTACCAGTAATATTCCACTGTCGCTACCACTATGGGATTTGAACGGACATCTGCTTCTCTGTACTGATGCGGTATGGTAACCTGAACTGGCGTACGTACATTTTACGTGATAACTGACTGACAAATAAACATTTGTACGTTGTTTCCGTCATCTATATTTTGTCGAATTAATGCCTCATGTGTAATAACTTAAACAAAAAAATGAATTGAGTGGTATTTTTATGCATTCATTTTTTTCCTCATTTATTTAGATGTTCGACTATCCAAATGACGACATAATATCGATTCGGGCCAACTCTGTTGATGTAGCTAAATACCTAAAATATCATGGAATTTCCGATTCAGTTATTGACATTTTCACTAAAAACACAATTGATGGATTATCATTTTGTTTACTAACAGAGAAAGATTTATGTGAAATGGACATCAAAGAAGTTGGTGTAAGAAAACGTATTATGTGTTTATGTTACTTTTGGCGTCATCAAGTTGAAAATCATAATTATGAAGAATATACTTTTCCAAGATTACCAAGTGAAAACTCTGTAGTCGATCTGTTATGTTGCCATGATCCTAAAGTCTATAGAGTACAAAAAGACCCATGCAAATTAAATGGAGATGATAATATAAATTGTACAGCAGACACTACGTTTTTAAATGATTACGATTATGGAATAGATGAAGACAATACAAATCCTTGGAAATTTATAACCAGTTGTTTATATTTCATTTTTTCTACATGTGTTACAGCATTTGTGATAGTTTTAGTCCATGAACGCTTACCTGTCACATCGAAATATCCTCCGTTACCAGATATTTTTCTGGATAATCTTCCTCATATTAGTTGGGGATTCATTGCAGCAGAAGTGGTCATCATTATATTATCTTTGATTTGGCTAATTATACTTATTCTACATAAATATCGTTGGATACTATTACGTCGTTTCTTTGTGCTTATGGGTACGATATTTTTATTAAGATCAATTACTATGTCGATAACTTCATTAAGTGTTCCTGGAGTGCATTTAACAGATCAATGTAGTCCGTATGTAATTGAAAATTATACACAACGCTTCAAACGTGTATTCGAAATATGGATTGGTCTTGGTTTATACATTACAGGATTACGAACTTGTGGTGATTATTTATTTAGCGGTCATACAACTTGTCTTACTCTACTCAACTTTTTTATTAGTGAATATACACCAAGAAGATTTCATCTTTTGCATACATTTACATGGGTTCTAAATCTTTTTGGTGTGTTTTTCATACTTGCCTGTCATGAACATTATTCTATTGATGTATTCATTGCTATATATATTTCATCAAGATTATTTCTATATTATCATTGTCTTGCTAACAATAATTTATTAAATCAACCAAATAATGAACGTATAAGAATATGGTTCCCATTATTTTCATTTTTTGAATATGATGTACGATCAGTTGTACCGAATGTATATGAAATACCATTTAAAGATTATTACAATAATAAATTTAATCACAATAATAATAATAATAATCATAACAGTAGCAGGAGCAGTGGTAGCAGTAATCCTACTAATGGTAACAGTAGTTGTAGCAGTAATATTACTGATAATTACAATCAAAATAATTGTCAAAGGCAAATGAATAATATTCGTCGTAGACCTAAACATTGTCCATTACACACCTATACTAATAATAGTAATGATTATTCATCATTCAATAATATATCACAAACATTAGGAAGTACATTCATTACAAAACGTGGTGAGATTTTTTGCAAAAAGGAATCCTAGTGATATTTTTTTTTAATGCTTATTACTTTTCAACCTTTAAATTCTTACAAAATTTTATAATTATTCTTATAAAACTATTTTACTGTGATGAACAGTCAGTGAGTGCATTGTGTCATTTATTTTAAAAATTCTTAATAATAATTTGTAAACATGTAATCGATCCATTTATTTTTTTAATATACATATACATATATATATATTTATACATAAATAGATCAATCTTATCTTCTTTTATAAATAATTCATATGTAGTAAAAAGGTCGAGGTCCAGTTGTTAATTTTCAAAAAAAAAATGTTCAGAGAAATTCATTTGTATTGGTAGTTTGAATCTGTCCATTGAAAGTTAGGACTGCAGTTGATTAGTCTCATCCTGTGCGGACCACCTCGATGCAGGTCATAAGCATTATAACCAGAGATAGTTAGTGGCTAGCAATAGAATCCAGGACGCGGTTTTAACTATTAGTGGGAAGATTCAAACTACCAGTACAAATGAACTAAACTATACCCCATAGAAAAAGTAAATGGTTTTCTTGACTCAGCAACTAAATGAATAACACAATGGCTTTTAAAACAAGCGATAATGGGTTCAACTCTGGAATACAAGCACATCCAGCTGATGATTTCCAAATAGGACGAGACGCACGTCCTAGATTCTACTGCTAGCCACTATCCATCACTACTTATGAAGTTATTTTGTGATTTTTATTCGACTAGTCTTCTTTGGATCGAATGTTCAGATCATTCAGAGTTTAAGTATACATAGTTAAGGATGAGAAAACGATATAGAGCGTTGAGACTATAATCTTTGAACAAGGCTAAAGTGACTGAAAAATTCCACTCGATTGCTAGGATCAAAAAAGAGTTATAAATTGTTTTGAGGAATATGGAATCAGATTTATAATTAGAACCCAAGGTTAAAAGTCAGAGTCAAAGTTTTCATCAAGAACTGACCCTAGAAATAATTCCAAAATGCTACTTAGACGTATCGATAAATGAACTGCACGCCACCTTAAATCAGTGGTTCGTCCACAAATTATAGTCTCACCAATAAAAGTCTGTTGTCGTTTTACTTTTGAAAAGTCAGATGTTCAAAACCAATATTATCTTATCTACCTGATACTAAAATGATTATGTACATTATAAAAGTAGCGGTTGAACCATTTGACTGTTGATTTTCATTTTCACATCATAAATTTTGTATGATTTCCTTTAGCCATTTGAAAAATATTATTAATCTTAAAATAAAATATGTACCTCAACGCTAAATATTCAACAACAAAAAAAAAACGAAAGATTATATTGTTTTTTAATGATTATAGAGAACATCACTATGTTGACTGCATAATATAGAATACTGACTTATAAATATAACTCAAAATTTTGCCTGTTTGATAAATTTAGAAAACACGACGAGAAGACAATGTTAAACCAATCAAGACAATTTATGAGTCAGTAATCACAATGAAATGAAATAGATTACATCACTACACAAGTTGATAGTAGGAAGGACAAGTGTACTGATAATAGTAAGAAAAATAACATACGATAGCAAAAGTATTAGCAAGTGTAGGTCAAACGTGGATAAATAAGCATTACAAAACATCAAAAGCATTACGTAATAAGAAGTGTGTACATAATTAGATAGTGAATACTATAAACGGAAAGAGGTAGAGAATTACCAACAAATACAGGATGTGAAAATACTGCTAATAATAGCAAAATAAAATTTAAACTTAAAAAGAAAAATTTTAAATCTTAAATCGTTAGTTACGTCATATTTGATTTACACCAATTTGCATATACTGAAGATGAGCAATAAACAAATCTCTTTAACTATTATGTAAACATTCATTTCATCAATACAGATCAATAATCAACTTTCTTGAAGTGTATTTCAAATGATTCCTTATACAATATACAATGTAGAATCATCACAATAAATTTTCTATTCTCAAGTTGAACATAAACAAATATTTATGTAAAATAGACTTTATACGTTATCTCTTTATTGAATTTTACTCATTATAAATCGAATGACTGCCTTCTCACAAGGCATAGCTTATATAAATGAAATACAGTCAATAACCAAAGATTCTTGTTAGATAGGTCGATGAATGATGCATTCCACCTACTATTTATCACCTAAAATTTAATTAAATTATCATCTAAAAAAAATAATAATAATTTCTTTGAAAAATTATCATTAATTTATGTTTATTATTATTAAAAAAATTAAGAAAAATTGAGAAATTCTTTAATCTAATTCTATTTTTTTTTCTCTTCAATATCATTAAATGTCAATTAGTGCATACAATCACATATGAATGACAATGAACATGAAAAAAATTATCATTATCACTGTTTGGCTCTCTTGGTTTTAACAAACCAATTCGATTTGATTTAATTTGTTATAAGGTATATTTTGGTTGAATATAATGAATATATATATATGAATTGATTTATTTGGAAAAGTTATTCATTTTACAGACACATGAAAGTATGCTTATTTTTAAGCGTTTTGATAAGTAATAATTATGCATGTTCATGTTCATCATTCTTATGGTGTAAAAATTATTTCAAGTCAAGAAAAAATAAAAAAAAATAAGATTTTTTATTTCTTCAAAAATCGATCATAATTAAGGAGGTTATGAAATAACCTATAAAAACTAGTTTTTGATTAACAATCTCATTAAATTTTCCAAAATAGTTTACATAGTTTACATTGGGTACCTAATATTATTATATCATTATTACTGCTGATTAAGTTATGCCGTGTTATATTGCATTGAAAGCATTCACATAATTTATAATATTATTTAGTTGTTCATTTATTTCTTAAGATCCCAACTATTAAATAAGTAAATGATTACCAATTAAGTAGGTCAATCAGTATAGTTTGTCTAGTATTTCTACCTATTTCGTTTTCATTTCATATTCAATTTATCACTTAAATTTCTTTACAATAAGATACACCATATTTTTGATATTCAAAGAGCTTCTTCGTACAACTGTAAACTTGGTCTTTCTAGCAATAGTGTATATTTTAAAGATAGTACATCTGAATAAAATGCTTCCTAAATGCCATTTAGATATTCTGATAATAGGACTACTTCATGTTACATCTAACTTGGTATAACAGTTTACGATATTTAATGCAGTCCTAATGTGATATTTCAACATTAATTTTATTCTCAAAGTAATATTTGATTAGTACAATATTGGGGGTAATAGTCCCAGTGTAAGATTATTTTAGGTCAGTAGATTTTGTATTAGTCAAAAATGTGGATTTCATTCAGTATGACGCAGTTGTAAACTTTCATTCAAACTGAACAAGAACATACGGATTTCTATGACATAAAATGAATTCATCATCTTCAATTTTAAAGCAGACCAAAATGAAATCATATAGGTGTATGTATATGAATAATACTTTAAATGTATCTAAGACAGCATTCAACACCAATGACATTAAGAAAACAACGAATTAGATTGTCATAGTAAATGAAATTTTACAAATTGTTATTCAGAATACAGAATGGTTTTATTTATGATAACAAGATAAATCAATAAAATGTGAAACTTAACAAAAGGTAGGTGTGTCTGTAAGAAACGTGAATTGTTAATCAACTAAAGTACATAGAATAATTGTAAAAATTTAAGTAAAGCATCCTTTACTAATAATTCAAATTGAGGTGTTTAAAAAAAAGTAAAAGTCAATTTTATTAAGTTGAATTAATACATAATAAATATTAGAGTAATGGAAGATTATTTAGGTTATTTATGTTACAAAGACCAGGTTAAAAGTATTTAGTTGTTATTACTTTAATTTATGATCATGAAAGAAGATTGAGAAATATCTGCTTGGTATCTCATATCAAAACAGTGTCTAGAAATGGTAAGAACTTTCAGTGCTAAATTAACATCTACATTGCACTCAGATAAAATAATATAACTTTTCAATTGTACACCGAGATCAATCTAGTGAAAATGAAGCATTTATTCATTAAGTATGCTGAAAATCGTGCGCATCCAACAGTTATAAATGAACAAGATTGTGTGTATCTCACGTTAAATTGGTGATGCTAGGTAAAATGACTTATAGTCATTTACAGGGGATCAGTTACATGAATCCACCCTTTGTCTTTCAAATCTTCAGTTCTGGATCACTCATACTTTTTATTAATTCTTAGTGAATAATTTCCTGCAGATAATACATGAGTTATGACCATCAGTGCAATTCAAGAGTCATATTCCGTTCTATTTGTAACCCATCAACTGGATGTACCTGCATCCTACTGATAATGTTCACATTGGGACTCGAACCCAATACTTTTCGCTACAAACACCTAACGTGTCATCTACTGAGCTCGTGAAACAAACTAGTTACTAGATTGTATAATAAATAAGCATTTGAATGCAATATGCAATAGTTTAGGTAATCTCATCGTCTATGTTCTTGATTACTAAACAACAGAATAATCCGTGTCATTTTTCTTGTTAATTTCCTCGCTTCATATAATTATTTATAACAATTCAAACCAATGTGTATTCGTTTGAGATATATTCATGTCTCTAACTACTAAGATAGGTAGATGTTAGATTGGAATATATAATATGTCTGAACTTAAAGAAGTCAGTGAAGTATTCTTTTTCTAAAACTTTATGATTAATTAATATATTATTCTATAACTATCAGAATTCTACACTTAATTATCACATTATAAAATAAACTACCATTTATCTTGAAAATCATCTGTAAATTTTTACTTTCTATATTGATGTTGTAACTCATTATTTTACAAGTTTCTTTGAAAGTGACTATCATATCATCAACACATTTAAACTTGTATCTATCTATCTAAATAGCATATATATATGACTGGTTAATTTTTCGCATGTTTTACAACTGAATAGTAATGAATTCATTTTTTATACCATAAATCTGTACGTTCTTGTTTTCAGTGCAAGTCTTTTATTCGTCAAAACATGAATATCATCAATTCAAGTAGTGGTCATTAATTGCAACACAATTTGTTATTGATAATAATTCATTTAAAGAAAAAAAAAGCAAAACTTTAACACAGGAGAATAAAACTTAAATCATCATCATCATCATGAAAATCCATCATCTCACTGAAATATATATATATATATATCATTTGCATAATGATTATTTTATTCAATCAATACAAATTATAAATGTTTGGATTT